CCCATCCCCGTGGCCCAAGGGTAATCTGAGTTTGAAACCCCAGTTGTAGACGTTACCCTGGATAATACCTTGAACGCCTGTGCCGTTTGCACTGTTTAAGATGCAGGTCGTTTAAGCAGTTGAAGGAGTACAACAGGAAACCGACCTTTCGATTAGTCTATAGTTTATACCACTATGGACTTCAGTTACTATGATCGTAGTTCGAATCGTTATAATCGGAGGACCCGTCCCACAAATAACGATTAAAGGAAATTTGAATTAAAGAGACTTTATTAAACTACATTGAAATGTCCCTGGGTGTGCGTGGAGTTAAAGACAGATTCGATGATATGTGGAGGTTCAAAGTCAAAATGTTTGTTGAATTAGTATCTTTTCAGCCCTACGTTATAATGACATAACTCCACTCCAATACGTGGAGTGAAGATGGTTGGCTGAGCTCTACGCCATCAAAACAACGTATTCGAAATCTAATAAGGCACTAGCTGAAACATAGCTTAATTGTTGTAACAAAATAGAAACGTCCTGACGTACACACTGCTTGGTTAAGTTAAGTTTCAGCGGGTTCGGGAAACACAAAAATGTAAGGAGAGAATCTCAGAAAGCTCTGCCAAGATAGTAAAGGCTATTCTTTTCTCTTGTCTATTTAGAGGGGTACCGTCTGTTTTGTGGGCATGAAGAATGTCTTATTTCCTGGATAGCACGGATAGTTTTTTTAATGTTTTAGTTCTCGAAAAAATGTCCTTAAGATAATCTGGTTCCACTCTAATTTACTATTTCTGTGGTTATTTTACTAATAGTGATTCGCTAAACTGATTTTTTTATCTATTCATAAATGGAATATTTTTTAGAATATCACTAACCTGTTGAGGCTGGTGCCAAGAAGTAGTGTGTGGCCTTAAGATAAAAAAAAACAACACATTGACACACAAGAATACACAGAGCTTGTTTTTGTTCAATAATGTTTCTGTTGACATAATATTTGCCTGTCCCGTGGTTTATATTTTTAACCTAGCAAAAACGACTCTGGGTTTAGAGAGAAACCTTTTCCCCCGCAAATTTGAAAACATGTCAAATAAGACTTGACCACAGACATAAAGGGGCTCTAACATTGAATACAATATAGGTGACTTTTACTCCCCTATTGACTCAAATTAGATCATTCAGGGGGTAGGCTTCGACCCTGCCTACCCGGGCAGAGAGGGATACGACGTCAAAGCGGAAAGACCAAGAGACTAGATACAAATCCCCCCCCCCCTCAAGAGAATCGAACGTAAGTCTTCTGTGTGCAATGGCGAATTGCCGAACCTCTACATCTCAGACGCCGGTCATCTTGAAAGTTGTAGTCGGTTATAGTCATTTGAAATTTTTGTTTGTTTTGTTTTATTTTCTTGTAAACTTGACCCATTGCACAATCATTGGAACAACTTGCCAACTGAAAGCACCACCAGAAGCACTACAGAAGAAACGACACTCTGCCAAAATCTGGGACAATTTATGGAATTACGACATGCGTCTGTAATTTTGTAAAACGCATAGAGCATGCTGTCGAGCGTGGATATGTGCTATATAAATACAATCATTATTTTCATCATTATCGTTTTTATCTTTACTCTTATTATTATTAGGTTTGTAACGAGCTTTGCTGGGTTCTCGAAAGAAATTTAGTTTCGTGACCTTGATACGTCTATCATAGCCGTTCTGTGCTTGCGAAAAATAAGACAAACATTCAGAAACATGTCCTTCGGTTATGTGATACTAAGCACCAGGGGCAGTTTGTTAACTGGGCAAGTCCGGCGGTGCCGGTCAGATTTTTGTTAGCTGAACAGTTGACTAGAGGTTTATTGCTGATGACGATTTTCATTCAGTTTTAAGTAAATCCAAACAAACATGTATCAACATTCAAAAACACCTTGCCGATTTGAAGGCGCTCAAATAGACAAGTGGGATTCACTGCTGTTTTGTCGCGACATAACCTCATTCCTTCACGTTTGTTATCGCGCCGGCTCGTAACTTTAAATCGTCTCACGTCAAGCCGTCACGTCGCGGAACTTCGTACTACGCACGAGGCCAAACACACGGCGGGCTTGGCTTAGGCCTAGCGATGACGTCAGTCTCGTGGACAAATCCATCGTCAGCCCTCAAATAGCGAATAGGGCATTCCTTAATTGCCAGATTGGCCTCTTTGTAGCTTACAAAATTAAGAATGAGACTGTCTTGAGCAGCACAGACACATGTATTATTTTATCAGCAAAACATGTATTTATCTTTCAGCCTTTCTCTAACTACTATCAGTTGTCAGCATGGCACTAATCTTTTTTGTTTATTGACTTTTTAACCATCTATAGTTCCTGTTTGGTATTTACTCATCGTTTTCTCCCCACTAATAACTTACCTGGCCCTTAGGAGTCTGGCCGGCGAAAGAAGGAATCGTCTAGTGAAGATATATCAGGAGAATTTTAACGAGGAGCGATAGACACTCGGCTGTCAGAGTCTGGGCCGAGAACCCCCTCCCTTCCCTCCCCTTTTCAACCCTCACCCCAGCTAGACACCAAGTTCTATAATTAGCATTTGACACACTTCCCCACTTTGTTACAACACAGTGTTCTGTGTTCAATTCTGAGAACTGAGAAGTGCGATATACTGATCGGAAACTTGTGTGCTAACTTTGTCCAGCTTTGTATAACATCTGATTGTAGACTTGGTCTGCTTGGGACAGCGTCACTGGTACAGTAGCAATTGACTTGTCTTCATACAGTTCTTATTACATATATATTTATATTTAACGGGTCCAGTGCACGTCGATATTTTGTGTGGGGGTGTAGAAAGTACGAGTAAAGTACTGGAGGCCAGGACCAGCAGTTTATTGCCTCTCACTTTCAGTTTGTTTTCTAGCATAGACTCAAGTAGTGTTTCTTTTTCTGTGCAGATCAAGTGAGTTTCTATTAATCTCATTAACTTCTATCTTACATTATTCATAATATTGTTTCTTGACGCTACCGCATATTTTAGCTCTTTCACGTTATATTACAATGTTAACTGTGGTGTGTGTGTGTGAGTGGGGGAGGGGGTGGGGATGGCGAAAGTAGGGGTATAAGATAAGGAGAGAGAGAGAGAGAGAGAGAGAGAGAGAGAGAGAGAGAGAGAGAGCATGTGTGTGTGTGTGTGTGTGTGTGTGTGTGTGTGTGTGTGTGTGTGTGTGTGTGTGTGTGTGTGTGTGTGTGTGTACGTGTGTGTTGTGAAGGAAGTGGCGGGGGGGGAAAAATAGTCGACGTGAATGACCGCCGGTCAGTTCTATAAACCACGAGCCGCCACTGCTAAGCACCATTCTCCACGTAACGTGTCTGACAATTTAATAGCAAAGCTAATCCACCTGAACGTTGTAAGAAAAATCTCAGTTGCAGACTTGTTTGTGATTCCAGTGTGCATTCTATTCCCGCATGGAAATCGGGATTGAGGTCGGGAATCCCTCCCTCACTGCTGGCACAACAATCCGTCCCCCAGAAGTGATACCGGTGGCGACTGTGTCCGTCACTCGTGCTTCTTGCGAATGAAATCCGGACCCAGCTAGTCTAGATCCAGCGTGGGCGGTTCAAAGATAGATTGCCCGCCTCATTTACTGAGCCATCAGGTAACGCAAGTTCTCCTAGGGATATCAAGCTAGTGACGTTCGTGCGAATAAATGTATTTTGCGCCCGTATGATATGACCTTGTGCAGCTGCGAGCGCTGTAAAAAATAGAATAAAGGTATT